TTTTGTTGACCTTTGTCCATGGAAGGTCCCTGCAAAATTTCATTGAAATTGGTTCAGGGGTTTTGGAGAAGAAGTCGAAAATGTAAATTGTTTACGGACGGACGACGACGACGGACAAAAGGCGATCGCAATAGGTCACAGGTGACCTAAAAATATGGGTAGGGGAAACTTATGGGATACTCGACACTGTAATAGGTAACAAGAAACTGCCAATGGCGATACGGCCGGATTGCTATAGTACATGTTCATGTAAAGCATCACATGTGATAAGCATCCTTTAAGATACATAAGCCATGCAAGTTTAGTTGACGTACAACAAGTAGTTACTTTAATAGTAACTACATGACCTTAACCAATCTTCTTAACCTGGTCACTGAAGCGGAAAATGTAGGTCAGAACCAGCATACGAAGCATTGCATGTGATCAGCATCCTTAGATACATAAACCATGCAAGTTTAGTTGATGTAGGACAAGTAGTTACTTGGTAAGTGACCAAAACCAATCTTCTTAACCATAGTGCAGATGGGGCCTGACCTCAACCAAACTTCTTAACCTGGTCACTGAAGCGAAAATGTAGGTCAGAAGCAGCATCCAAAGCATGCATATGTAATTATAAGCATCCTTCGATACACAAGCTATGCTAGTTTACTTGATGTGGGATAATGAATACCTTGGAAACTGAGCTTAACCATTCTTCTTAACCTAAATGCCTTTTTTTTTGCAATGCTTTTCTTTTGCTGTAAATACTGTTGTAGTTTATATAATCTTCTCTTTTTACGGCCAGAGGACCTGGTAGGTAGGGGATTCCGGATCACCAGTACTTTGAGCTTCTAATTTTTATTGCAATGTAAAACTTTAGAAGATATCTATCAAATGTAAACTTCCTGTGTGAACCTCCATTCATGAATTTGATAAATCTCTTGCAAAAATTATCAACTATATACGACTTGTTGCCAAAATTTCATTAACGATTACTTCAAATTTTTTCAATGTATGAACACTAAACACATGCTCACAAACGAAGCAGAATCCCTCAAAGGAGGAATAGTCCGAATTATTTAGACGTTTTATCGACTTTTTTATATCGGTCTGGCGTCGATTAACCGACGCCAGACCGATATAAATAATTCGGACTAAGGAGGGATGACCCAAACCTGTTTACTATTTAAAACATGACTGGATTTATTCGACATCCCTAATGTGGAAGCAGCAGGATCAAACATGGAGACTAAATGTCAGCAGAATGCATGCATGAGTATTCCTCCATATTGTTTATAATAAACTTAATATAAATAGGCCTACATTCGAGTGTCTCAAGCTAAATCTTAACGGGACACGATATTATACACGTAATATTTGCTGTTTTAAGGATTTTTTTTAGTTTTTTTAAAGCTTTTCATACCAGGTATTTGTATATATAGAGATGCAAACGCAATGAGATAAATTCCAGATATGCCCCAGAGGAACACATCTCTTGTATAACTGATACCGCTCGTCATTTTAACACGGTTAAATTTCTTGCCAGTGTGGAAGTGCCTTGGAACACCCAGACAGGAAGTAAATGCGCGATATAGTTCTTCAATATACTATTTTATAACTAGGTTTCAATGTAAATATAATCATTAATATGTAGTTTATTCAAATTATTATTTTTTCGTGTTTTTTCGTGTTGATATCCTGTTAAAGTCAACCAGATTTCTGCTTTGTGTAGAGATACATAAGTATTCCAAATTTTTCGATTTGCATTTCGATGTTACCCTTCTTTCCATTGGACGAGATTTACTAATTGGACTACTTTTTTTTTATAAACCTAGCCAATGGAAAGTCGTTTAGCATTTCTTGTCGTTTGTTTACAAAACGCGCGAGATTTGGACATGGGGATGGGAGATATCAAATTAACTCTACTTGTTAAACAAGCACAATGTCTACTATCGCTACACGTCGTCCGTTTCTTGCATTGACAACTTAATCTGTGTACCGTAAGCTCAAACGTGAACTTATCATATCTTGTTCGTTAGTCGAGCACTGGAATAGGCCTAAGGAAGCCTAGTGTGTAATCAGCTGATCAAGTTACACTAACGGTACAGTATATTAAATCGACTCAGTACACTCTGCCGATTGAGCTATATAGCTATAAAGACCTATATAGCTATATACACCTATAAATTATAGCTGTGTTGAGCTATATTTTCTCATATTCCAAATTTCATTAAATTAAAGCAAAGTCGCATAAAACAATAAGGTTAATGGTAATGTTGACTACAAAAAGCATACAGTTAGATGTTTATTTTCATTTTTCATAAATGCAAAATTTCCGATTTCTTTACATCATTTTTTTTTTTTTTTAAATACTTATATTTAATGTCTTTCGTTATCAACCTAATGATACAATCTTCTTTTAAATGCGACTTTGTTCCGTTTTCCTTAAAAAAGAAAATCATTTGAAAATAGCTCAAAAGACCTATTTCAGATAGGTCAATAGAGCTACTATAGGTCTTTACAGCTATATAGCTCAATCGGCAGAGTGTACTGGACCTGTTAAAGGTACGGCACAATAACAGGTAAATAATATAATATTACGACTGAGTAGAATGCAATATTACTTGTCTTATACCAGTAACACCTATTCTGTCCATTAAATTAATGGTTTTTTTTAGTGAAAATACAAATATGCAAACTAACCAGTCGGACTTTGCAATTTATGTAGCTTTGTTTTCATGGGAACTTTGGTTGTTCCTTGTGGACGGTTGATTTTTAAAAATTACTTTAAAAAGGTATATGTATATGTCAATGCATCACAGTATATATTCTTTAAAAAAATGCAATATAAAGATTTGAGCAACACCAAATAAAATGTCCTGGTACTATTCCAACCTACAAGTTAAATGTTTGAGAATGTACTTATGATGAATATATTGTACTTCAGATTCAATCATGGTTGTCCAACAATCTCAAACCCAGAACATTGATGCAATGGCAAAGTTTTGTTCTATGCTGCAACCTATCCGAGACCTCACCAAGAACTGGGATGTAGATATTGCTGGCAACCTGGAGGATTACTTGGAAGAGGTATTACTATGAGTGTTAGTAGGAAGATTGTACTGTCTGTGTATGTAGTGTACCTGGTTAGTCTGTGTATGAAACAGACTGGCTTATACTGTATGGGAAAGGCGCATGCTGATTACAGAACACATACCCCATCCCACACTTCCACCTTAGTTATATTTAGTGCTCCAATGATTATATAGCTCCATTGTAGTAGGACGAGGAAAAGTGATAAAGATAGTGCCGTCGCTGGGTCTCGAACCCGCGACCTTTGGCTCTCCAGTCTGATGCTCTTACCGCTGAGCTAATATAAATGGAAATTCCCTACAGCTGATGCTTGTAAAGCAACCTGATCAAGTTTCGCGGCTCAGTGAACATTGTTGTAAGCTAACTAGTAGCTTGTGGTGATGTATGATGGTCCTTTCTTCTAATGTATGCTGTACACACGTGTACTTATTAGACTTCTGGTTGCTATATATATAGTTATTTACAGTTACAGGTTCATTTCTTTATCTGGTAGGGTTGGAGAATTCAGCTCCAACTGTTGATTCCTCTCCTTTTAAAATATGATGATTAAAATGTGTGATTTTTAAAAGCACGGTCAGTGCCAAACAGTCAATTTGTTACATTGTTCACTTTTGACTGGTTAGACTTGCAAATTATGTATATATGTAACTAATAAAAAGATGGCTTGAATTTTGTTAGGTGATTTTTCCAGTGGCTGTTGAGCCGTGACTTGAAGGTGTTGGCGTTGGAGAGATTACTACCTCCTCTGTTCCACAGATTTATCACTCTGTTGCTGTAGAAATTACCATATTTGTTTAGTCTGCATGGTCTTTTGAATAGTTTCCTGGAGTGCCCTCTGGTTCGGTTGTCTTCAGCTTCATGAAATAGTTTTCCCTTGTCAAGAATGTCCATGTTGTTTAGTATTTTGTAGGTTTGAATTACATCAGCTCGATGTCTTCTATATCGATGCACATCTTTACACCATTCCCCCCTTTTTTTCAAACACCAACCCAGGTTCTTTGACTCCCCGCCAAGGGTTCTCCTATCTTGAACAGGGAGAGCCAGTTTATAGTAGGACGAGGAATAGTGATAAAGATAGTGCCGTCACTGGGGCCCTTGGCTCTCCAGCAACATTTGTATGTCAAATAAAAGATTTTGTAGTATTTCCTTTGGCGAGACAGATTGATGGCCAAGATCTTTTTTAATTTCCTTGAATTCCAAGTAACTCAAATAAAAGTTAAGTCGCATTATATATTTCAAAATAGATTTGAGTCTCAGCCAAACAAAATGAGTCCCAAAACTAAAAACAGAAACACCTGATTTATGAAATATTGTTGATGTTGCAACAATACAAATAACAAACAAATGATTTTAACATTTATTGCATGTGCAGTACAATGAAGCTTTAGTTGTCAGTCTTGTTAAAACTCGTGTATTGATCTGTTACAGCTAGAACACATCACGGTGGCCTTTGATAGAGGACTCGTCACAATGAACTTTGCTGAGGCGGCCATGGTCATCCAGGGTTCTGCCTGTGTTTATAGTAAAAAAGTAAGTGATGACATCATAGGCCATAGTCATCCAGGGTTCTGCCTTTGTTTATTAGTAAAAAGGTAAGTGATGACATCATAGGCCATAGTCATCCAGGGTTCTGCCTTTGTTTATAGTAAAAAAGTAAGTGATGACATCATAGGCCATGTATGTATATCATGTTAACACAGGAGTGGACTTTAAAAAAAATTGGTTACTGGTCCAAAGGGCTATGACCAGTTAAAGTAAAAGTCCTGTTTGAAGTGCACTGGTCCTAAGATAACGAGGACTGCAGGCCTGAATGAGCACCAAAGGTACTCGATACTCTTCTGACCCCCCACCAGAAATTTTGAAATCTAGAAGCTCTGTGGTACATTCTTGGCTTAGAAAAAAGCTTTTCAAATCTGCTGAAATTTTAGATAAATTTACAAAATATGTACTGGCCCAGCGGGATAGATTGTTGAAAAACCTATACTGGTCCACCCAGAATCCCAATGGCCATGGGCCAGTGGACCAGCGGCTAATTCCACCCCTATAGACAGCATATATTCAGTCTTTGACGGGTTTGTATATGGAGGTCAGGTTACATATTTGTAAATTACAATGGTGGAATTACCCTATGTGCCACAAACCATAACAACCAATGTAATTTACACTATTTATATTGCACAGGTAAAATTTTAAGTGCAGGGGGGGGGGGGGGGGGGGGGGAATTCTTCTGAGATTATATTACCTAACATTCCAATCTTGGCTCATCATGCCCCAATAGAGATATAGTTACAGCATGTTATCCTTCTGTTGAGATAAATCATTATCGCTCACACATGACTTATAACATACCTGTAAATAGTCTATTCCAATGCTGTGTTCCTTAGAATGTTGCTTATTTTGAAAAACATGGAAATCTTTAATTGTAACAAATAAGTAATAAATTACTTACTAAACCATGTGTACTTTCAGGTGGAATATCTGTACACTTTGGTACACCAGGTTCTTGATCTACTAGCCAACAAAAAGTAAGTAGTGCTTATCTTGGGTTAGTGCTAACTGATTACTAATATGACAGCAATAGTTTTCCTGTCTGAGTTGTTTCTGTATCTGTGTATCTGAAATCATCTATTTTTGAAGGTTCTTTTTTCCAAATTTTCTGCTTTAAATACTTGATCAAGCACAATGGGTGCCTAGGTAGCAGCTATCGTTCATTACTACTGTGTGTAATCAAGCATGAGCTTAAGACCACTCAATGTCTCAGGAATTTAAGTTTTACCTCGAAGGTTGATGGATAAAAGAGTGACGTTTGATAGGGTTAGTTATTATTCTATCACTCTGATTGCACATTTACTTCCTCCAGGGTATCGATTTGTGATATTTGTGATATTTGTGTATCTACAGAAAACAGGCCAAAGCTTCCTCAGTTGATGATGAAGGACACGATGAGGATGCACATTTTAATGACGGGACTGATGAGGTAATTATACTAAACTATGCTGTATAGATATATAGGTAACTACACTATTTGTATATAGAGTATTAACAATGGTTTTTCTAATAGATACAAGGAGTACCAATCATTTTTCACAAGTGCGAAAGACAGGTGAAAAATCAATAGCTTCTGCCAAGCAGGTAAAATATATACGGTTCTGTAGGAAAAAACAACTCAATTTTCTATTTATTACATTTTCTTGAAGTCAAACAACAGAAATATTGCTGCTTTAAAGAGAATTTGTAGCTTAATGTTTGAAGCGAAGTTCCAATAGCGTCATGCTTGACAAAAAGGTTGTGTTCCATTTTGAATGGTAGGATTTGCTTCTTAAATGGTATCATTGATGTTTGTTTGTTTAATAACTTGTGTAAGTACCAGAGATTTATCACTTATTCCACCATGGCCTATTAACAACAGAACAGAAAATCTGTAAGTTTGAATGCAGTAAATATATAACACCGTTTTGATTGGTCAATATAAAATCAATACCAGACCATATAACATCTCTTTTATCTTCACTGCAGTGTAAGTTCTTATCACATTGATAATTCTATTATGTAACTGGTAAACATGTTAATTATTATTATACTATAGATATAGATATTTGTTTACAGATACATCACTGTAGTGTATGCTTTGCTTTTGTCAGTTTCTTAGTCTGGATGACATCCAAGAACATACCAACATCTGGATCAAAGAGGATAGCTATGGATGTAAGGTAAAATATACATAATAAAGTATAACAATTTTCCTTTCATGGGGATTTGTTGAAGCTTCATGTACTATAATTTCCTTTTTCCAAAATATTTTTCTCATCTTCTATTTTCAAATAAATATGTGACTAGAAACATGTCATCAGATTAATGTTTTTTATATGGCAATGAACACGACAAAAACCTGTGCTGAGCCAGGTAATTATTCAACATATAGATCATTATACACCTGGGATAGACAACACATGTTTGGGACCAGGTAGGTCAGGAAGTAACAGTTGATGGAGCGGGTATCTTTAAAATGTATTCTCGGAGACCAGAATAAAAATTGAAAAAAATATGTAGGTATTTGAACTGGAATAGCTCCATTATAGATTGTATAATTGTCTTTCCAGGTTGTTCAGCCAATGCCTCAGATGCCTTTGTGTCTGATTCCCCTTGAAGATGGGGAGAAGGGAGACAACCCACTCCTTAGGTAAATAGGTGATATATCTACCTTACTGTCAGATGTATCTTGCCCCCTGTTTTATAAAAAAAAAATGCAAGTACCATTTTGATCTGCATAGATAATAACACCACTCAGGTTATTATGTTATTACTGGGAATTGTGTGTTGCACATCAGATCCTATGGTGAAGTGTATTGTCTCTGTTGTATAGATAGTGTCTGTACAGATCACCCATTAATGACCGGCTGTCCATCTAACATCTGACATGCATAAGATTACACATGTTCAAACTAGTAGTTTTGAAGCATTAACAGACAATTGTTTCTTATCGCTGGATGTTCCTGGTGTTGACAGTAAAACAGGTGAAGTGCTGGGCAGTAGAAATGACTTCAGAATGAACACGAGTTCCGTGCACCAGTCTGGGATACTGCTACTCGATATGTACCACTACACGCTAATAGACAGGTCTATCAACATGGCTACCTCATCACTCCAAGGTCAAGGTCATAGCCCAGGTAAACAAGCTTTAAGGTCAAGGTTGGATGTCGGGCAACATTGCTGCCACATCATGCTAACGTTAAGGTTTTAGGTTCAGTATTAAAGCAAGTTACAAAGTCAACATTAGATGTGGATAATAAAAAACTTAACACAAGCTAATACGCCAAATGCGTCAATACTTGACACTTTAGCGTTTTGAATGTGGTTCAAGGACGAAAATATATGCGTCCTCAAATAAATTTACCGAACTACTGAAATATTGTGTCCAGCCCGCTTACTGTTCGAAGTGCGTTGAGAATAAGAAGGGACTTTCGGAATTTGAGTTAAGCGCTATTCTGATTGGCTAACATATATAGTCTGAGTCGCGCGCGCGTCATAATCAATGTGAAGGTCGCACGAACCGCAAGTTGACAGATGCCTTGTTCCTCGCAGACCAGACTACCCATCGAATCGGGCATCAATGTCATCTCGGGCTAAAATCACTCACTTTTTCAAATGGCAACAGAGAATGAATTAAACAGGCCTATCCGCCCTAATGTTACCAAAAGTGAGGATGGTGCGTCGGAAAATCCCCCGAAAAAAATCAAAACAACATGAAAAAAAATTGCAGTCTTACTCTTCAAATTTTTGTCAGCATAATAACATTTTATGATGACCTTAAGAATTTATATGACAAAAAGTATTTCTATAGTGTAAACCTATAGTCCAAAACAGAATGCATAGTCGTCGCACACGCCATGTTTTAAAAACGCTGACATTTGAGTTTTAATTACGTTTTCATGTGCTATTTGAACTTAAAAACTAATCATCTATAGACAAAAAATTGTGCATGGCTATCTATTCTAAGACTACATCATTGTTATAACTGATTTGTTGACACATTTATTTATTTGTATTTTTGCAAAAAGTTATTCAATTTGGGTAGGCCTACTGCTGCGCATTCTTTACATTGGAAAAACAAATAAAAATGTTCACGACAAATTTATTTTGCTTGTTTAAATTTTGTTTTGCTTGTAACTTTCAAATCTACAAGCAAATTATTGCTTGTAGGTTCAAAAATTAAGTTCAAACCTTTTTAAGTTAGTAACAATTTCTCATTTTACCATGCTTACATAGTCACTATTTTGGAGGGAGACATTGTTTAATACTGGTTGTTTGTAGTTCTATTAACATCTTGTCTGGACTGTTAAGTTTTAAACCGTTGTAGATTATCTTGATTAATGACTTTCCACCCTTCGTAATACACATGTTTTTCTTGTCGTATTTTCGCGTCTTCATTTCCGTATTGAGTATCGGGCTTTCCATTACCGTAGTGTAAATTATAGTAACACCGGGTAAACAATAGTACACGTGCGTGACGATGATATATCAACACCCGATATAGAGACTTAACTTGGAAATGTGTAATCACACGTACTTCAGAAATAAAGGTTATGATACAAAGACATTAATTAACTCACGGGAAAACACTGACATACGATCAGACGACTTCAAGAATGTCGTATATGAGGCGCATGGAATGCAGACTGATGTGTTTTGTTTACAGACCTCACCTGTACGTATCATGTGCTAACAGTAGTTCACAAGCTCTTGGTCGCTGACGACTTTTGTTGTCGAGCGAGTTACGCTCTGTCAGATAAATTGGTTCACAAATGCAATTACAATAACTCTGTGAAAATAGTGGTTTGTAAAATATCAAGAACCCTATAAAATGCAAGTGCATGTGCGTGCACGTAATAACGGCATACCATGCGATAGCCTATGGTTACATATTTACCTGACATGTTGATATGTACCATGCGTAAGCAGGCTATGGAATGATGTCCAAAGTGTACATGATTGAGAGTAATTTTGTTCCATAAAAGAACAGTTAATTGACAATTAAATATAGTAATTTAATTTCTTTCCATCATTTTTGGTATAGTAAAGAAAATAAGTGTCATTGTATAAATTCTATCCCTCTGCAAAAAGTTCTGTTTTTTTTCAAGGTAGACAACTCTCATCAGGATCAAAATTATTATAAAATGTAAAATAAATTAATTATAAAGACTTGGTGTGTATTTGGTTCAATTTTTCAGTCTTTTTGTATGAAACTATGTGTCCTGTTTGCTTTTAGCTTGTACTAAGTAACTGTTATCCATACAATTTCAATAAAAAAAAAAACGCTTTTTGTAACATGTTGTAGATATTTTATGATAAATAAAATATTTGTAGGGTTGATTAGCAATGTTTCTTTTCATTATTTTATTGTTGCAATAGTTTTGAACAATGCCACACGCTCAAAAAATGTAAAAGTGTTGAATTTGACAAAAAACAATATTCCGGTATTTTTTACAAAAAAATCCCCAGTTTATCGGAATGCTTAGATTTTCATAATATCTTCTCTACATAGTGACATAACCATTATGTGAAACTTTCATTGAATTCTACTGGCTAATTGCGAAAGGGTGGAGCCTCCTTAAAGTTGAAAGTAACTGCATTGCACTGTAATTATGTCAATAGTGAACTCTACCCCAAGGTTAAAGGTCACAGAAGTCCTTAATCATCACTTTGGTATTTAATCCTGACTTGTCTCTCTGGATGGTGAATATGGACAGCATCTTCTTATATAATCTGTTATATTCTGAAACTCTGATCCTGTTCTGCAGTTACCCCACATGAGACAGACGTAGCTGAAGAACCACCCATGGCTGAAGACGTGCCCATGGATGATCCATCTGGGGGTTTGTTATCATTTCCTTGTCCCAAGTCGGACTTCCTTACCATTGAAGATAACTGAAATTTCATGATTTTACTTGACTAATGTTGCTTCTACTCGTAAAACAGCCTTCGACTGCCATCTGGTAGACATTGATAATGTAGCCTTCAGTCCAAGTCATCACATGACTAGGGCATTATGGGAAATCCAAAGAGATGTTACCGAACAAGCTTGGTATAGCATCAGGCAGTGTTTGTCGTCCGTCTTCTTGATGAAATTTTTTACACACATGCATAACAACATACTTCAGAAACATAATCATTCAAATTGTATAAATTCACAATAGCTTCAAATTATTTTAGATATTAGTAAACTATTAATATTTGACTAATAATTCTACGATTGAGTGATTGTACATTTAATATAAAATTCACTTCTACCCAGATGATAACAATGAGCATATGTTTGATGTGCCGAATGACGAAGTGGACGGAGCCCCACCAAAAAGTGATGTCCCTCCGGTACAAACAGAAACACTGGTAATAACCGTCAGCTTGCCATCAATTATGAAAGGACAATGTCAAGCTAAGTTGTATGAAGTTTTAAAAAAAGTTAACGCAAGATGCAGTTATTATTGGCAAGATTTTCAATCCAACAGAGAAAGAACAGATCAAACTAACATATAGCTAATGAAGATCTCTACAATGGATGGTGCCTCTGGTGGGATCTCTTGTTGTATTGAAGCTAGATACAAATAACTCGTGAATTGTTTTAAAGGAAAATCTACATTACAATTTTAGCCCAACATTCTGTATGCTATGATTTATATGTAATTTTGTCTATTAGAAAGCAGAATCTGAAGAGTTACGGAGATCAGAAAGACGAGCAAAGACAGTGCGGATTGTACCACCTAAACCGGTATGTATTTGTAATTGAGAAATCATACATGTAGTGTATAGCAAGCCATAAAATTTCAAAATATGAAGGAAAACTCAAGATTTAAATTGAAAAATCTGGATATTTCAATATGCAATCAAACTTCCTAAAATTTGTGATAAGCTCCAATAATAATTACCCAATATTTCATTCATTTATTTTTATTATTTTGTGAAATGACATTTTTTTTAGATGAGCTTGCAAACTTCGAGAAACTGAAATGAAGTGAACTCTTTTAAATGTGTCCTTATTTAGAGCTCAGAACTGTATAGAAGTAGATATATATAAATATTTGATATTAAAATTTACGTCATCTTACTAATATACATTCAGCTGAGACATCATTTATTGTTTCAACACTATTTTACATATATTTAACAGAAGGTGGATCACTGGGACCTACTAGATCAACATGAGGCCCTCGCACAAACAGAAAAGGCTTTTAAGAAAAGTAGGTCAACTTCAACTCCTATCAATTGACCTTGTTATTTCCAAGTCCAGCATTCTAGAACCTTTGTTTTTAGGATGATAATATTAAGGAATCCCTTTCCTTTTTGTGAAATTGTATGTGTCAAAAATTTAGAAAATATTTTTTTCTGGTTATGATAATTGGAACAAGTTTTCTATTGAATAAGTGTTGCCCTTTAGTTTAATTATCACTGATATTTGATTTAGATAAATAAAGGTAAAATATTTATGAACATTGAAAAATTAATTAAAAGATAGTAATGGTACATTTAGTTGTCCAGTTTGCACTAAAAAAAATCATCAATAATCACATTGACAGAGTTTTGTAAATGGTTAACTGAGGTAAACATAGAAAAGGTTGAAATTCTTATAAACCTGTTGCCTTCATTAGCCCAGTGTTGTCCTTAGAAAGCGATTACACAGTTACATACCATGGTATACAATGAAACCTGGCTCGACGGAATTTAAAGGATATCCCATGATATCTTCACCCCTAGTTTTTAACAGTATATTATTTTTGTCAGTTTTCACTGGTATCCATCTGTCCGTTTAACCCTTTCACCACTGTATACCATAATGGACTTATCCATATCAATGCATGGTAAAGTCTATTAAATTTGCATAGAGATGAAAGGGTTAAATCTGTTTTAACAGGGAGACTGGCTTTAACATGTCTTTATTATCCTCAGTAACATGTAGTACTTCAAATCTTGTAATATCAAACTCTAAAGTTGTTTTCTGAAAATTATTGAACTTTTCTCCTTTTCTTTGCACTTGTTGAATAATTTTTGATCATATTGAAATCTAGCTTGTTTGTTTGGGGGTTTTTTTCAGGTAAAACATTCAAAATACCTGAATGTGTACAAGATGTCACAAAGAAAAGAAAAAGAAAGACACAGATGAAAAAACCCAAGCTCCAACCTCTGTCGGATTTCATTACAGGAGCATGTGAGTGAAATGTCAATTACGTCGAAAATCAGAAACAATTTAGTTTTCTTTATTCATGTGAAGATATTTGTCACTTAACACACAGAAACTACCAAAATATTTACAACAAATGATCATTAATATTATGCATTGTAATAACTTGTGGAGTATAAAAGCAGTTTTAGTGAAATTTCAAATTTGGTAATATTTTAAACATGTAAATCATAAGTAAAAGGGGCTTTTTAGTCAAATGACAACCTGAAAATCAAGTCAATACTGAAAATATATATCTTCTAACGAAAGTTTACGTAGTTGATAATGATATGACCTGAAGTCAACGTCCAGATTGTTTCATCTTTTGGGAAAGCCGGTGATAAAAATAGCTACAACCAAAATAGCGCAATATCTGGGCCTTGCAGCGAGAAGTAATCATGTACAGCACTAGGCTGTCAACCGACATTATGAGGCTAAGTTCACACATAACGCATTCTTTACTTTACACAATACATCTCAAGTAAGAATTATAAACATCATTATATATACCTATAATCAGATATTTCTGTTCACATTTGGATTTGAATTAGAACGAACAGGTTCATGAAGAGCATGCATGCACTAAAAGGGTGCCACAGGGAGAATTTCAAACCGCAAAAAAGTACGACATCAATAGGTTTAAATGTAAAATAGATCACTCAATTATAACAATGTTTTAGATGCTTAGATCTTTAATTATGGATTGTTGTGATTTGCAGTTTCACACAAAAGCAAGTTTCCTAAGAACCCCAGAAAGGTACCTGTGTTTATTGAGTTTGAACAGCAGTACTGGATTGAATACAAGAGACGACAATCGATTCTGAGAGAACAGAGGAAGTCCCTGGTAAATATCACTTTTAATGGGAGGAGACATACCTTATGTAACTCTTACTGTAGATTTATGTAATAGTTCTAATTGCCTGCAGCCTAAACTGGTCAGTATGGAGGCCATTGATATCACAGAGGAATTTTTAATTTTGTACAATGATTTAATGGAAGTTTTGTGCCACACAGAGCCGTGAGGTGCTGGAGGAGGATCAAGAGGATGAAGATGTGAACCAGAATGATGAGCCTGACAACATAGGTCAGTATATATTTCTTTACAGTTTAACAGCTTGTAATAGCTTCAATAGAACTCAGTTAGTTCAAACTCTGATCAGTCATTGACCCCCACCTAACTGAAACTCTGACCAGTCATTGACCCCCACCTAACTGAAACTCTGACGAGTCATTGACCCCTACCTACCGGTAACTGAAACTCTGACAAGTCATTGACCCCAACCTACCGGTAACTAAAACTCTGACAAGTCATTGACCCCAACCTCCCGGTAACTGAAACTCTGCCCAGTCATTGACCCCCACCTACCAGTAACTAAAACTTTGACCAGTCATTGACCCCCACCTACCTGAAACTCTGACCAGTCATTGACCCCCCCCTACCGGTAACTAAAACTCTGCCCAGTCATTGACCCCCACCTAACTGAAAGTGACCAGTCATTGACCCCACCTAACTGAAACTGACCAGTCATTGACCCCCCCCTAACTGAAACTCTGACGAGTCATTGACACCTACCTACCGGTAACTGAAACTCTGACAAGCCATTGACCCCAACCTACCGGTAACTAAAACTCTGACAAGTCATTGACCCCAACCTACCGGTAACTGAAACTCTGACCAGTAATTGACCCCCACCTACCGGTAACTAAACCTCTTACCAGTCATTGACCCCCACCTACCAGTAACTAAAACTTTGACCAGTCATTGACCCCCACCTACCAGTAACTAAAACTCTGACCAGCCATTGACCCCCACCTAACTGAAACTCTGCCCAGTCATTGACCCCCACCTACCGGTAACTACAACTCTGACAAGTCATTGACCCCAACCTACCGGTAACTGAACCACTGACCAGTCATTGACCCCCACCTACCGGTAACTAAAACTCTTACCAGTCATTGACCCCCACCTATATAGCTACCAGTAACTAAAACTCTGACCAGTCATTGACCCCCACCTAACTGAAACTGACCAGTCATTGACCCCAGCCTAACTGAAACTCTGACCAGTCATCGACCCCCAACTAACCAAAACTCTGACCAGTCATAGACCCCCAACTAACCAAAACTCTTGACAAGTCATAGACCCCCAACTAACCAAAACTCTTGACGAGTCATAGACCCCCAGTTAACCAAAACTCTGACGTGTTGCATTTCCCTCCCCACTTAAACTCAGATGAGTCATAGACCCCTCCCCACTCAGAATCAAACACTCAGATCATTTGGTCCTGGGTAGATTTATCCTTGTCTTTTCAAAAATTGAACATCCTGAAATTGTTTTTCCTAGATCCAACATTAATTAAGAGATTAAATTCAGACATTATTAACCAAAATGTGATATCTCTATTCTATGTTTCATGAAGAATACAAATCAAACACGAAAACCCACAAATCACCAGACACCTGTACTTAAGTAGTATACTCTCTACCCACAAATCGGCAGATATTAGGGTAGATACTTGTTATATCTACAGTACACACTAAATTAATACCATACATAAACGTCGTGATATATGCCGATATAACAGCTCAGTATAAACATAGTGATAAGTAGCTCAGTATAAATGTAGTGATACATACTGATATTATAGCTCAGTAACAGGTCTGTACAAAAATAACTTATGGTGTGTTGTCTTACAGATATGGGGGTAGATAAGTTAGACGATGGTGATGACCTAGACGATGATGCTCCATTGGTAGATGATAACCTATTTAACGCCATTGAATCAGCCTTCTCCCTACAACCTGTTGATACAGCATCACCTAGCCGATCAGGTAAAGTTCCCCGACAAACTAGAATGTTACAGACAACCTGTTGATACAGCATCACCTAGCCGATCAGGTAAAGTTCCATGTAAACTAGAATGTTACAGACAATCTTTTGATACAGCATCACCTAGCCGATCAGGTAAAGTTCCATGTAAACTAGAATGTTACAGACAATCTTTTGATACAGCATCACCTAGCCGATCAGGTAAAGTTCCATGTAAACTAGAATGTTACAGACAATCTGTTGATACAGCATCACCTAGCCGATCAGGTAAAGTACCATTTAAACTAGAATGTTACAGACAATCTGTTGATACAGCATCACCTAGCCGATCAGGTAAAGTTCCATGTAAACTAGAATGTTACAGACAATCTTTTGATACAGCATCACCTAGCCGATCAGGTAAAGTTCCCCGACAAACTAGAATGTTACAGACAACCTGTTGATACAGCATCCCCTAGCCGATCAGGTAAAGTTCCCCGATAAACTAGAATGTTACAGACACCCTGTTGATACAGCATCACCTAGCCGATCAGGTAAAGTTCCATGTAAACTAGAATGTTACAGACAATCTTTTGATACAGCATCACCTAGCCGATCAGGTAAAGTTCCATGTAAACTAGAATGTTACAGACAATCTTTTGATACAGCATCACCTAGCCGATCAGGTAAAGTTCCCCGACAAACTAGAATGTTACAGACAACCTGTTGATACAGCACCACCTAGCCGATCAGGTAAAGTTCCCCGATAAACTAGAATGTTACAGACAATCTGTTGATACAGCATCACCTAGCCGATCAGGTAAAGTTCCCCGACAAACTAGAATGTTACAGACAACCTGTTGATACAGCATCACCTAGTCGATCAGGTAAAGTTCCCCGATAAACTAGAATGTTACAGACACCCTGTTGATACAGCATCACCTAGCCGATCAGGTAAAGTACCATGTAAACTAGAATGTTACAGACAATCTGTTGATACAGCATCACCTAGCCGATCAGGTAAAGTTCCATGTAAACTAGAATGTTACAGACAATCTTTTGATACAGCATCACCTAGCCGATCAGGTAAAGTTCCCCGACAAACTAGAATGTTACAGACAACCTGTTGATACAGCACCACCTAGCCGATCAGGTAAAGTTCCCCGATAAACTATAATGTTACAGACAACCTGTTGATACAGCATCACTTAGCCGATCAGGTAAAGTTCCCCGATAAACTAGAATGTTACAGACACCCTGTTGATACAGCATCACCTAGCCGATCAGGTAAAGTTCCATGTAAACTAGAATGTTACAGACAATCTTTTGATACAGCATCACCTAGCCGATCAGGTAAAGTTCCATGTAAACTAGAATGTTACAGACAATCTTTTGATACAGCATCACCTAGCCGATCAGGTAAAGTTCCATGTAAACTAGAATGTTACAGACAATCTGTTGATACAGCATCACCTAGCTGATCAGGTAAAGTTCCCTGTAAATTAGAATGTTATAGAATCACCAGGACTATGATACAACATATTTACAGGAGATCTTTCGTGACTGTGTATGACAGTAGGTGGTTATGTCAAATCACTGATGAACATTTTGTTATGACATTATGAAGCAAAGTTGATCAGAATTAAACAAGGAGTCAATTGACCAAAGGTCAGGGTCATCGGGTCAGGGGTCAAGGTCAAATTTTGTACCTTTTCACTGGTTAACATTTTGCTATGACATTATGAAGCAAAGTTGTTCGGCATTAAACAAAGAGACACATTGAGGTAAAAAATCAAGGTCAAAGGTCAAGGTCATTAGATTCAATGGTCAAGGTCAAATTTGTATCTTTTCACTGATGAACATTTTGTTATGACATTATGAAGCAATGTTGTTCAGAACACAGAGTCAACTGACCTTAGGTCCAGGTTACGGGGTCCAAAGGGTCAAGGTCAAGTTTTGTAATTTTCACTGAAGAACATTTTGTTATGATGTCAAGAAGTAAAGTTGGTCGGAATTAAAGAATAAGTCAACTGACCAAAGTTCAGGGTTACTGGGTTAATGGTCAAGGTCATTTGGGTCCAAAGTGGATCTTTGACTTTGACCCTGGCTCTTGACAAATGAGTATTGCACCGGTATTTACATTTTTGTTAGCCCAGCAAATATGGAGGTGGAAGGAAACAAGACTCACATCATAGTACATGTAAAATGTATTTTTTGCTTCCTTGCGATTCTTTTTGAAGTCCAAATGTAAAACGTCAAGCTCAGCTATATGGGCAGATTGCTTCTTGATGATTATGGGGGGTATATTGCCACAAGACGGGGCCCTTACTGACCTGTCAGTGTTCTAGTAGCAATTATCATAGCTACTGTCCATTTAGTGGTTATGTCTCTGAATAAAACACTATATCCTGATTGTTGGAGTATCTCAAGGAACACTCGTGTCAAGTGCCCTACTATATAAAGTTAAAGTCCAATACTCGCCATGAATCACATTCTCTGCCCATATCATATACTTTGTCTGTGACGTTTCGAGGACTAGTACGATATGTACACTGTCACCTTCATCAGACAAATGACCAGTGAAGCGTTTGCACACAAAGGTGTAAAATGTGTACGAGTTGGGCCAGTTCTAAATCGAGACGAGGGGGCTCAAAGCCTCTTGCACATCTATGACCAAGTGTTAACAAAGCGTAGCTGAATGGAGTCATTTCGGTACATATTTAACAACTATTGTACATACATTTCCAGCGTAGCCGAAATCGACATCAATTTTATGGACAACTCGTACATATTTTACACCTTTGTGTGCATAGGCTTCATTGGTCATTTGTCTGACGAAGGTGACAGTGTACATATCCTACTAGTCATCGTAACGTCACATAGAAAATTTTATTGGTTGTGTAAAAAGAACTTCTCATAATCCATACTTACCAACCTGAAGAAAATGTTTAGAAACATATACTTTGTCACCTGCAATTGCCAAATTTTACATATGAGTTTGTCTTGGGATGTCTTACAGAGCTAATACCCTTTATTATGGCCCCTTGATTATAATGATAATGGTGTAGATGAATGAATTATATTTATCATGATGATGATGATAGTTTTAAAATGATTAGGAATGCTGAAAGTTAATTGTTGAAATTTATGATGTAATCATTGCTTGATTGACGTGAATGATAATGATAGAAAAAGTTGATGAGGAAACTTGTTGATGATGATGATGATTGATGGCGATGGTTTTATGATGAGAAATATGAACAGATATATATAGATGCTAATGATGAAGATGAAGAATAGATGAAGATGATGTTTATTATGATATTGGAAGTGTATGATGGTGTTGATTGCTTTAATGCTGATGATTTATTTGGAAAAATAAAACAATTACAAAAAAATGGCCCCTTGTACAATTTTTGAATCCATTTTTTTCCAAAGGTGGGAGACTAAGGATTGCTCTCAATACTTTGGTTTGGTATCAACAGCGTTCCTCATTGTTCTGTCATTGTTTTTAGAACATTGTGGATTTCCTGTGGGAGATATTGTAACAGATTATGAAGAGCTGGTCAGACAACATGTGGTAAGTTACGGTCACAAGAGTAATACCAAGTTATCACAGACACGTGCCCAGTGAGTCATATGATTCATGTTTATAGTTCTTATTGAAAATCCATAGCAAGACAATTAAATCAACTCAACTTTAGATATAGATGAGTCTTATAAACAATAGGTTAGTGCTGGGGCTAAATTAAATATTTTTTTGGAAAATTACTGGGTGATGTTACACCTACGATATTTTGCGAGCTCATTAACCAGTAATTTTGAACCAACTCCTGCCTGGGTTGAACAGTTATATCCCCATCAACAAGAGGAATACTTCTATTCCTTATATTTATATTATAATCTTTTTATTTAATATAGGAACAGTACATGGCTAGTGCTCAGGAGTACGCCCAGATAACAGAGCTATCACAACGTGTGGCAGAATGGGAGGACAAAGTCATACCCAAACTAGAGGAGGAGGTGGGTATTCTTGTGTTAAACTACTTGGAGCCAAAACGTTGTTTCAGCTTCAGTATTATTCTTAAGAAGAGCTCTTTTATATCTTTTGGACAGTATTTTTTATGATTTTTAAACTTTTTTGTTATTATTTATGATTTTGATAAAAAAAAAATCAGTCAGTTTAAAACAACTGTCTGAATATTGTGACATCCATTATACCTGAAATACTTAACATCAGTTACCAAAAAGATTGTAGAGAGTAGAAACAAGTAGATAATAATCTAGTGTGGTAATACCAGTTTTAACTAACAATAGCATATAAATGTCTGTACAGATTTCTGTTGATTTGATTATAGACTTTCTGTTTTTCTTTATGTGTATTAATATTGAATTTGTTTACAGGACAGTCACGAACCTTTTGACATCAACAAGTATGGAACAAAAGTGTTGAACAATTTAAGTAAAGACACAGTTGTCCCATTTAAATGTGTTGCCACTGGAAAGCCGCCGTTTGAAATATGTAGATTATTTCTGTCATCTTTGATGTTGGTAAGTGTCCACGTTGAATTTATTGTTTTACTATATCAATGTTTTATAGTACATTGTATTATAAACCTGCCTACAGTGACCTTGGTGTAATCCTGAAATCTTAAAATCTAAATATGATAATGGATACTTTGAGGAGGTGCTCCAAAGTAAACTGTATCTATTTCATTATACACACCATCATGTGGCACTGCCATTATATAACCCTACAAAGGTCTAATGGCATACATATCAGCTATGAATGCCATGGTTCGCATGTTGACGTCATTATTACTATGACATCACCATTGTAACATTAGATACCACTGACCCTCCTGTGAAGATGGCTGTTTTATTCATTAAACAAACGTAAACAATACATGCACTTTACTTGAATTAAATGCTGAATTTTGATAATAACATTTATTTTTCTGTAAGATGAAAATATTTTAAAATAGGTAAATATAAGTACATTAACTGAACTTGGTTCTTTTGGTATTCATAGTTAGCATGAATGCCAACTAGAATGTGACATTTCTCATGTTCCAGTTGGCAAACATACAGATTATGAATGCCAACTGAAAGCAGTTTAATACATGTACATATATTTTCAAATATTTTCATCTTACAGAAAAACATTTATTTATCAGAATTCAGCATTTAATTCAAATAAAGTGCATGTATTGTTTACGTTTGTGAAATGAATAAAACAGCCGTCTTCACAGAAAACTGAAATGCTCAAATATGCCATATGGGCAACCATGGTCTATTAAAACTCATTCACCCCTGAAGACACATTTGAACTCTTCCAATGCAAAGGTTGGAATAGTCCATTATGACATTTCAGGGGTGAATGAGTTAAAACTTAGGTATACCATTATTTTTTTATTTGTAGATTAAACCTGTCATTCAACTAGGTCCCATATTACACATTTTAATGTAAAACAGATCTTTGTATCTAATCCAAAATCTGTCGTTTCTTACTTGTCTCAAGTTTTGTGTTGGTAAGGATCATAAGTGTCATCAAAGGCCACAATCTACCATTACATGTACTTAGTCTGTACTTCATGGTGTTGATCAACTGTTAGTATCATAACTGTCACATTTTGATAGCAGTGATGGTGACTGTTTAAAACATTTCTTACAGATATGCACAACTTCAATGGGTACAAGTTAGTAACACGTATCTATAGTTTGTGAAATAAAGAAACTTCATATTGGGGTTTTATCTTTCTTGAAACAACATTTTGAGATAGAAGTTATTTTAGTTGATTATTTTTACAGGCAAATACAGAAAATGTGAAAATTGTTCAGAAGGGATATTTGGAAGAAGGTATTGACATGTTTGAGATGAGACTTTTATCCACAACACGGATGTTTGAACAACTGGAGGAATACCAGGCACCTTCACTAGCAGCCTCCTGACACATGCTGAACTGTGACAAAGAGTGCACCAGACTGTAGCCATTATCAACATTTTATGAGACTGTCATCACAACCACATGTACTACTATTTTTTTGTGGTCAGTAGGGTACCAGCTTCAGATAACACTGATCAACGACAATTTTTATTTTTTATTTTTTTCAAAATTACATGTTTAAAACAAAATAATATAAAATCTAGTGTTAAGTCATACACTGCTGCTGTAAGTCTTTTTTTATGGAAACGAAATTCCGTAACAGAAAAAAATATGGAATTGAGAGTTTAAGATTAAACATTTGTACAATCTGTTAAGTCAAAGAATTACAGGAATATACTCTGTATAAATAAAAACGCCGAGTTAACCATCAAATTAAGTTAATTTTTAAGTATAACCACTCCACACATGATTGCTTGTTACAAGCTCAAGCTGATAATACACAAGTCTTGTTTAACATTCGTATCATACAATATTCACCCAATTGCAACAGGCGTATGATAAAATCATGTTCAGCAATATTTAACAAACTCAATAAAGACCAACATGGTGAAAAGAATTTTCTTACAGAGACTGTAGAAAATTTGTTAAAGGGAGATAATTCAGGAATGAAACTATTCATGTATGGAAGTCCAATCATTCACAATTAGAACTTTGTATACACTGGTATGTATAATGATGTGCTGTTAACAATCCCCAGGGAAGTGTTGTCCTACTACAGAATGGAATGTGGACCGGAATAACTTGCATACCGACATTGTCATTCATTCATAGTGTTGTAACTCTCTCCTCTCTGATTATAATACAACACGATTATAGCATATTATAGTTACAAAATTGTACATTTCAGGCATAACCATTACTTCTCAAGCTTATTATTGCATATATAATTATTACGTATAATCTTGAGTAACAAACTTGAGCAAGCATTTTAAACATTAAAATATTTTATCATGTTATTGATGACTGTTTTTCTTGATTACGTAATGTTGCAATGGTCACAAAACATTGGTTATGATAAACAATATCTGTGAAACCTTTACAACTACATTCATACATAACATTCAGAAAACCTTCCAAATAACAAAGTGCTTTTTCTGAATTTGATCTTAAAAATAATGTTATATTAAAGAATGAAAATGTGTTTGGTCTAAAGAAGTTCCACTGTACACAAAACCAGAGTGTCTGAACTAAAAGGGTTCCACTGTACACAAAACCAGTGTCTGGACTATAGAGGTTCCACTGTACATACCTACGTAAGTGTCTGGACTAACAAGGCTTTACTGTACATACCTATGTAAGTGTCAGGACTAACAAGGCTCTACTGTACATACCCATGCAAAGTGTCTGTACTAACAATGCTTTACTGTACATACCTATGTAAGTGTCTGGACTAACAAGGCTCTACTGTACATACCTACGCAAGTGTCTGGACTAACAAGGCTTTACTGTACATACCTATGTAAGTGTCTGGACTAACCAGGCTCTACTGTACATAACTATGTAAGTGTCTGGACTAACAAGGCTTTACTGTACATACCTATGTAAGTGTCTGGACTAACAAGGCTCTACTGTACATACCTATGTAAGTGTCTGGACTAACAAGGCTTTACTGTACATACCTATGTAAGTGTCTGGACTAACAAGGCTCTACTGTACATACCTATGTAAGTGTCTGGACTAACAAGGCTCTACTGTACATACCTACGTAAGTGTCTGGACTAACAAGGCTTTACTGTACATACCTATGTAAGTGTCTGGACTAACAAGGCTCTACTGTACATACCTACGTAAGTGTCTGGACTAACAAGGCTTTACTGTACATACCTATGTAAGTGTCTGGACTAACAAGGCTCTACTGTACATACCTATGTAAGTGTCTGGACTAACAAGGCTCTACTGTACATACCTACGTAAGTGTCTGGACTAACAAGGCTTTACTGTACATACCTATGTAAGTGTCTGGACTAACAAGGCTCTACTGTACATACCTATGTAAGTGTCTGGACTAACAAGGCTCTACTGTACATACCTACGTAAGTGTCTGGACTAACAAGGCTTTACTGTACATACCTATGTAAGTGTCTGGACTAACAAGGCTCTACTGTACATACCTATGTAAGTGTCTGGACTAACAAGGCTCTACTGTACATACCTACGTAAGTGTCTGGACTAACAAGGCTTTACTGTACATACCTATGTAAGTGTCTGGACTAACAAGGCTCTACTGTACATACCTATGTAAGTGTCTGGACTAACAAGGCTCTACTGTACATACCTACGTAAGTGTCTGGACTAACAAGGCTCTACTGTACATACCTATGTAAGTGTCTGGACTAACCAGGCTCTACTGTACATACCTATGTAAGTGTCTGGACTAACAAGCCACTGCTGTACATACCTATGTAAGTGTCTAGACTAACAAGCCACTGCTGTACATACCTATGTAAGTGTCTGGACTAACAAGGCTCTACTGTACATACCTATGTAAGTGTCTGGACTAACAAGGCTCTACTGTACATACCTATGTAAGTGTCTGGACTAACAAGGCTCTACTGTACATACCTATGTAAGTGTCTGGACTAACAAGGCTCTACTGTACATACCTATGTAAGTGTCTGGACTAACAAGGCTCTACTGTACATACCTATGTAAGTGTCTGGACTAACAAGGCTCTACTGTACATACCTACGTAAGTGTCTGGACTAACAAGGCTCTACTGTACATACCTATGTAAGTGTCTGGACTAACAAGGCTTTACTGTACTTAACTATGTAAGTGTCTGGGCTTGAAAGGGTCCACTGTACACAGAAACCAATGTGTCTGGGAAAACTACCTTCTACGGTACGCAAAAATAGGTGTCTTGACTAACAAAGTTCTGATGTTCATTCCTTTGCAAGAGACAACATACAATATATAGGAATAACAAGTGAAGGGCCACATTAACACTAGGCAAACATGGACTTTATCAGCAAAGAGTGAATATTTGGACTGGGTTTCCTGGAATATAGTAGTCGGATAATTCAAAATTTACATGACATTAACACTCATTCGTTGGTATGTTCACCGATGTCTTATACACTATTAATAACATTTCCCAGGATAGATATACTTGCATTAGAGTCAATCGTGAATTCATGTACCACTAGTGTTTATATAAGTTCCCTGTGAGAATATAATTTTTGTGAAAATGTTTTATACAACAATTTTAAAAAGGGATTTACACAAAAAATAAGAGTCACATTACTTGCAACTTTAAATTTGTATGATAAACAAATTGCGCTTCCAATAAATTGTGATAATCAAAATCTGAATATACAAACATAATTCTCTACAGGAATAATAAGACTGTCTGTTTGACTTTGTCTTTGTGACTGAAACCTGAGCATCATTTTTTGTTTCCTACTGTTCAAACACACGACAACTTGATATTACTCCCATGTGTCAGCCATTAGTACCGGTATAACAAAGAAACATGAACACAGGATATGAAACCCCTGCGAAGCAGTTTTAGTTGTTGAATTTCTGGAATCTGTTTCCACACATAATGCCTTGAAATGTGATGGTTCCTAACCTAACCTAACACATTCAACCCCGAAATTTTATAATGAACTAATCCAACTTTTGAATTGGAAGAGTTCAAATGTGTCTTCAGGGGTGAATGAGTTAACATACTTCAGACTCGCCGAGCCTTTGGTGACACGTCAAATCACTAGATACTTTTATCATAGGATTCCTCATCAGAACTCCAGGACCGAAGAGATAATGTTCCTGCCCCGGAATAATCTGGATCCCGTCTGGACTTCCCTGGAAATTCAATGGGTGATGGTTTCGTGTTGGCAAGGACGTCGTCCTGTGTGAGATTAATGTCGGAGCCCTGGGAGCCAGCTGAACTTGCTAAACTGCCATCACCTTTGGCAAAAAAGGCTCTCTGGATCTCGGAGTCGAGGAAACAGAAACACAAGGATGCAGCCAGACCAATCACACCCCACGATGCTACCACCAACACATCATGTGTTTGGGAATCAAATGCACGTACTGAAATGGGAATTTCCGCCAGAAGTGCGACAATGATAAATACACTCACAAGGTTATTCTTCTCTTTAATGTTAGGAACATGCCCCGACAGAACAAGCAGTGTCTCCGGTCGTTCCCACCAAATGTAGAAATAGTTAGCTCCGAGAAAAAATAACGTTCCCATGAGAAGGAACGCATGATCCACAAATTCAAAAATATTGAGGATGTGTGCGGTACCACCGCGCCAACACTCGTCAGTTTGGTAGAAGTCTGTAGAATAAAAGGATACTGAATAAAACAGAATGGGCAAGACGGGAGCACACCAGTTGGTCAAGCACAAACAACCATTACATCTTCCTCCCATACCATCAGACTTGGTCTTGAGCACTGTGTAGTAATATCCTGCGATGATGGCCACCTTGATCCAGGCTAAACAGGTTGTCACCTCAATACACAGGCGCAGGGTCCAACACAGGACGTTCTGATCCTCCATTGGGAAATGGTAGCAAATTTCAAAAACGAGACGGAATAAGTATTGCAGTAATGTCCAAACGAAAATAATTTTCATCTGTTGATACCGAAATCCAAATAAACGCCTGGAACATCTGCACAGAATTGCTAGACTGACCATCTGTATGAATGCCACCAGTATGAGGAAGACATAGCTGATGACACTGTACCACTGGAGAATCATGGCTGGACACCAGTGTAACGGTATAATCACGATATAAGGATGTACCTTCCAGTTCCACAGCTCTGGTATGCTTCCTGTTTAGAGGGTCTATAAAGTATTTCCTACACACGACAGGTTACATACATATTTTATATGTAAACACAGAACAGCAGCTCTCCGCTACTGTAATTGAGAAGAGTAGTACAGATCTGATAAGAATCAATATGTATGGTATACAGTTCTTGTCAACAGTAAACAGTCTCCATCCTTCACGCGCCACTGACCTCGCTGAGTTGAGTCATACAAGTGTTCGTGTAAAATATATGCAACTATGTGATGTCAACAGTTCCAGTAGTGTTAGCTATTTAGCGGTTAGCTGAAGCTGCAGTCTGGGCAGATTGAAGCCATATCTTCTTCCTTACTATCGGTTAGAAACCACACATGCCATTCAATTGTAACCCCGTGTCGGAACGGTCTTCAGGCAGGACGTTGTGTGTGTAATGGCACATAGAATATTCCAGTGCCCGAATTTAGCATAATTGATGCTCCTGACGTCAAAAGCAGCCTATTATATTATGTGTACGGGCAATTTTTACACCGGTGCCAACTCGCCCCGGATCAATAATACGTGTCTTCGTATGCGTTACATGCAATTTTCAAATGAACCTGTTCATAGGACTAGCGAATAAAATACCCAGATCTCGTGTTCTTACAAGATAAATATTGTTATGCCACCAAATAATCAAACACTTCAGTAGGTCGTCCCATTTATTGCATTAATAGGCCTAACTTGTGTTAATATTAGTATGCAATACTCTGAACAACTGTCCGTTCCATTCTCACCATATATATATGCGTCCACGTCTCACCTGAATTCAGTTTATAGGATATTTTGAAGTTCAGTTTATATATATATAATTACACATTGTCGGATTATTCAGGGTTTGGTTTCGACCCGCTTAGGTTTTGCAATTCAATACATTGTGTGGGCAAAAATCAGAATGTTGTATTCCAAAAATATTTACAGTTGTATGCAGTATTTAATTTTGATAGATTAACATTTTCCTACAAACTTTTTGTAATGTATACGCTAGCTCGTTCTCTTTGACGCCGGTCGCTGATGATCCCATTTACGCAGCAATTGAATACGGTAAAGTGGAAAAAATGTGATTTTTAGCCCTATTCAAATCACCCTGCGTCCGTGGTCCATCGTCCGTCCTTAAACAATTGTTATCGGTATTTCTCAAGAAGTACCAGAGGCATCTTTCTAAAATTTTAGATTAGTTCTTTTTTATTGCGTTTCTGACACCGTGATAAATAAGGAAATTAGTACGAATATTAAATTTTTCTATGAATTCTGGATAGCTGTAAAAAAATCCGTTGCTATTTTCTTTAACTACGTCATTAATTAGTATTACCCCTTTCCTATACCAATCCCTGTAAAAAATGCTCTTATTTTCTATCGTTACTAAACTATTGTACCAAATGGGTGTTTTAAGAGCATTATTATTCTTATTCACAAAACATTCTGTTTTACTTGGAAAGCTTACTCCAACTTAATAGAACATCTTTCCAAAAGAAGTTTTTACAAGTGTTTTGGCATTTTAAAATACAATCTGTGCCACAATTTGCAAAAATATTTGTATTTCCAAAAGTTTTGAAAATTGATTGCCATTCCCTTTACTTGTAAACAGCCGTCGAATCCATGTAAGCTTTAAAGATTCAATAAAAGATTGTAACTTTATCATTTTCAGGCNGGGGGTTGCTAAGGAAATCCGCCATCTTGGATCCAAGATGGCGCCTTACCAACCCCCTTAACCATAGACCTAAATTAACTTTAGGTCTCTGCCTTAACCTACGGCACCAGATCTACATCTATTCATCATGTGGGGTTTTTTTGTGTGACGTCATCAATTTTAGTGTTACTAACTGAATTATCTTCCCCTGTTTTCAAAAGGTGTGTTTTTAGTGTGACGTCATTTTGACGGAATTAACTCCCTTTGTTTCTGACTTTTTACCTTCTGATTTCAGGTATTGCTTCCATGGACGGTCTCTCTCTCTCTCTCTCTCTCTCTCTGTGATGCTTGACGGACCTGCGAACCCTTGTAGTACAAGAAAGAACGCATACATTAATGAAAATCGCTATTACTTGTACATTGTTTTCAATAGGTGTGCGTATTGCGTATGACATCATCAATATGGCATTTACCGACGGAATTAGCTCCCCTTGTTTCTAACTTTCTAGTGTTTTGGAGTGTGGTATTAAATTGAGATGAATTTTTTTTTCGTGTAGGAAGTGAGTGTGTCGGTGCTGTAGCAGGTGTTGTTGCGTCCTTGTTTGAACAAAAAATAATAGTTAACGCGTAGACAATTCACAATGATAAATTAGCTGACGGTATAATAAAAGAGTGAAGTAAGTTATTCTATTTGGACGATTAATATTCTTACAGGGTAGCGTGTAATACTGAATACTGGGAAAAGGAAATGGGAAGCAATGTTTGATTTTGATGAAGAAATATGGAGGAAAATATACTTAACACCATTCAAAATTTGTAAAAATACAAAATTTTAATGGCTTCAACTTCGAATAAATCAATATATTCTAACTACAAATTCATATCTTTATAAAATAGGCCTAGTCGATAGTCCATTCTGCAGTCGTTGTAATACTGAGAATGAAACGATAGTTCATGCATTATGGGAATGTGAAAAAGTACAGTTGTTTTTGACAAATTTTGAATTTTTGCTAGATTTATTATTCATTCCCTTCAATTACAACAAGGAATCTTTTATCTTTGGATTTTATGAGGGAAAAACACAATGTTGATAACTTAATTATTTTAGTTATGAAGCAATATTTGTATAACACAAGATTCCAGGAAAAGAGCCTGTCTTTATCAGCTTTGAAAACTGTATTAAAAAAAAATACACACACAAAAATATATAGCTACTGGTAAAGGGGAAAATTATCTTACCATCTTTAAGAATGAATGGAAAAAATGGGAAAGATTACTGGTCTCTACATAAAATATAGAAATACTTAGATGTTTCATTCTCTGTTTAACATTATAAGAGATATGTGATTTCCATGTCTGTCCTCAGCATAGACTTGTTTGCCTGGTGATCACCTCTTATATTGTAACTGATATCTTAACTTGGTAAACTTTATGAATATGATAGGAAGTTGTATTTTTCTGTAAGAGTTATTGCCCTTCGTTATCTCATTGCTCTCAACAAAACTTGGTATGTCTTGCTAGTATGACTTGTAGTATCTTAAGTACAATGTAGCATTGTTCCTTATTGAACATTTTCTCAGGAATTTTTATACATTTTACTTTTTATACAAGAATCTAAGTCTTGAATGTGGTGTACTTTGCCTTAACATGGTTCAGAATCATATACTATGATTCAGTCTCAAGTTGGGTGAATCTTGGTATGAGTTACTATCAATGCCATATTTTTATATCCTCTATAGTGATATCTATATTCTACAAATGTTTACAATATATATGTGTATGGAAATATAGTTGATACAAACATTGGTCAACGTCCCTGGCAATATTAATATTAATATAATATTATAATACAAATAACAATAACGTTAGACTTTACTCATAAACGAGTTATTTCTTTTAATAAATATTAAATATAAATATTTGTCACGTCAGCATGTCCCTCTTCTCCCTCTTATTCAAGTTCTCTTTCTCTATGTTGATTCTATTCTTCCTTTAATTCTTCCATCTCTCGTTCTTTTCATTCTTAAAAACAGTTCCTATCACAATTATATGCAGTTACACTATTAACTACATATTGTTTTTATGTATCTTTAATATAGTGTTGATTTTTTGCTAATGACTAGAAATGGAGTGAGTGTGTGTATGTGTATGGAAAAATGAATTGTAAATGTATTATGTACTGTTAAAAAATCTTCAACAAAAAAGAAAATAATCAAAAAAAGAGGTAGGAACAGCAGATAAGTGTGTATCATTGCGATAATGAATGATTTTGTATGCAAGTATTCAAGTTGCCAGGTTCACGAGGATGTTGGACAACATGTAATGTATATTATATAAGTGTGAAATCTGGTGATTATCAATATAAATTTGTGGTTTTGTAAGGTATCCACTAGTTCAATACATGTATAAAATCCACGATTTGTCCTTCACAGATCTCAATTAATATTCATATGTAATATTTATGAAGTGCAGCGTTTCCAGAGTGATTTCTTGTCATTGTCATAAATTGTTAAGGTTCTATTCAACGTTAACATGACTGATGGTTTGTTGTTCTTTTTATAGTTAAAGTTATAGTTTATAAGTTGGGCTTGACGTCTAATCAACACATAATTAGTGTTTTGCGGACTAGTACAGATATGGAGGATGAGACAGATAAGGCAGGAAAAGAGAAAGAACCTACATTGGTGGAAAAGTGATGGGATCGTGAGGATTTATCCTGATAAATGTTCAGTTTGATATTGTGGAAGACACATCAAAAACGGCTGCATTGACAAGAAAGGGTATTTCAAATGTTCCTCATAACGTCCTGAATACTGTACAATGTTGTTTTACTTTTCAGGCGGCCCCATTACGCAATGTAGTCGCCTTGAATTTTATCAGGCATTGCCAATTCCCTCAGGTGTTAGTATGCGACGTTTTCGTGTTTTCAAGTTTCCTGCTCTTAGGATAGCAAAGAAAGTGACCAGGGAAGAACAGTAGAGACGAGAATTGATTCGGGGAGGAATTAAGGGTATTTTACACCTAGTAAAGAACTAATTTTAATTATTGAACATAACTTTATATTTTAAAATTAAGCATGAAATAAATAATCAATGTTTAATGTGTGCCTGAATCATCCGAGCTACCCCGTTCCCTCCCTTCTTTCTATCTCTCTCTGTTATAGTTAAAAGTCAGGTTGTATATACGTTTAAATGTTTTTGTACTGATCTTTTCCGATGCTGACGGCACAAGAGAAACGGATATTCAAGGACGAACGGAATGACAAGGAGGTAGCAAACCAAGGCACGGGAGTGATGGACAATAGTACAAGCAGAATGTATAGGAAAGTGTATATTGTCAACTTCTGCCATCAGTGTCGGAAAAGATTGTCCACATTATGAAAAAATACATTTTTAAAATCTCTCTCTCTCTCTCTCTCTCTCTCTCTCTCTCTCTCTCTCTCTCTCTTAAGATATGTACAAATGGTTGTGTATATTGTATATGCCATCTTGAATTTTGTAAGTATATACAGATGTTTTATTTTAGGGAAAGGGCTTTAAATAAGTCGTACAACTTGTGCCCAATCCTGTTGCTATAAATGCAAGAAAATATGTTTAAATCAAAATAATCCCACCTATGTTTTTCCACATCAGAAGGCATGTCTTTCAAAATTGACAAGAGATATTCTGCATCCTCCTCGGCGGTTAAATTCCCAACAGCCCGCCTTACGTCTCTCTCTAGACAAAGAATTCTATGGAAAGAATGAAGATTAGATTGGTGCTGCTTTATCCAATCAATAACGGTTATTAGGACATTTGATCTTATTCTGTGGTGCAAAATGTCCGTCATCTGTCCCAATAACTTTTGTTTAAATGCCTTTTTCAACAGTCAATAAATAAACTGATTTTGACCAAACTTTGTAGTGAAGTATCATTGGGTGTATAGGTGTTTGTATTTACCTAACGAAGGCATTTAAGGAAATCGGAGAAAAAAAATGAAAAAATATGACTTTTTGAAGTTCCCAAAAAATAGAGCATTTCCCAGTGAAAATTAATTATAAAAATTCTAAATTGCGTTCCGACACCACTTTTAAGGCTCTGGAAAAAAAAAAAATATATCAAAACTGCCATGTTCAATTCCAATTAAATGAAGATTTGTTTATTCTTATTGAAAAAAAACCCAGACGTGAATAACCGATTTCCACATTACTTAGAAGAAACATATGATGTAGAAATCGGTTATTGTCTGTCTTTTTTTCAATATATTATTAGTCATAACATTTGTATTTATTTTAAATATCAAAGGCATCAACTATGAAACGATTTTTCTGATTGGCCAGTGCATTTACCATTGTAACGCGTTAGATGTGAATTTTAACGAGTAAGAAGTGACTTTTAACGAGTTAAAAATATTTTAACGTGTAACTTTTACATTTGAAAAAGTAACGCGTGACAAGTGATTTTTAACGCGTTAAATGCACTTCTAACGCGTTGAAAGTAAGTTTTAACGCGTTAAAAGTCACTTCTAACGCGTTACTTTTTTAACGCGTTACTGTATATCGTTTTTTGCCCGAACCGCCACCCATATACATTCTTATATTCTCTTTATCCATATAATCTATTGATATTCGCGTGTGAATATTTTCGTGCTAATTTTATTCAATGTATAAATCATGAACGTATTCTGAAGGTACGTCACATGAAACTCCCTTGACCCCGGGATTAATCTCTGTTTTGTAGGGGCTCGTAAAATATTTCCTTTCAGTTGGCGTCACCAAGCTTTAGGACGATTGAGTACGTCACAGGGTTGGGGAGCTCACACAATATATTGTAAATGTGTAGTATGGTGACATTGACCTTTGATATAAAATGCTGACACGTGAACAATGAAGTGAAACTTATTTCTTCGTTTGCGCATTAATTGGCCAACTAATACAAAATGGTAACATACTTAATGCGTGTTTTACTATTAACTAAAGGAATTCTTAACAACTGACCATTGACGACTTATACCCTATTTTATGCGTTTTGTTCTCATTAATTGCAGGATATTTTAACATCGAACCAAAATGTTCATTCCAAAGGGATTTTATCTTTTTCTCTGAACTGGAAATTCAGATAACTATTTGTTGTGTTATTGTGCAATAGCGCTACATTTTCTCTGTCGGGTGTATAAAAAGAGCCACGAACTGGTTCGCATTCAAAGAAAGAATGAGAACTATTAAAACTAGTTCGTACGTTTGCTCCTAAAATCCTAACGACACAATTCCGAGAAGTATAATTCTATATTTGTATCACGGACACTGACATAAGACGTGTAATTTAGTGTGAAGTTCAAAGTTGTACCTTAAACTATTTGGATATTGGCATGTAGACTGTAATTCCAACAAAGCCAATGCGCAGAATAATTAAGTATGCTGCAATATGTTAACCTGAGTTATATTTAAAGTTGTTTCCGATAAACGATCGAGACACTTCTATCAACACCGAGTGCCTCATTAATCTCCCGTATGAACTACCGAAAACGGTCTACAGGAATATACCTCGCCTGACTCTCTCCAAGACTTCTCATCTACTTTTCGTCTAGAATTACCAAGTCTAGTATAGAAGAAGATATGCCGTCATTGTCTATAGTACCAGTCCAGTCAACAGTTCTAAAAGTGAAGTGAGACAACAAGAAATACCAGATTTCGAGTTGAAATGGAGCAAGGAAGTAAGGTACATAAAATTGATATCTTAGTCTGGTTTACGTTATTTACTTCCTTACCACATACAGTTATACTTATATCTCCACAAGACAGTAACATCGCCCTGCCCTTTATCTTCACTACCCGTTAAACCAGTCTTTTTGAACATATATTCACAACCAAGTCCCCTTCAATCTTCCTCTACTCACCACCACGTCCCCTTTCGTCTTCCTCTATTCACTATCACGTCCCCTTCAGGCTTCCTCTATTCATCTATTCACCACCACGTCCCCTTCAATCTTCCTCTATTCACCACCACGTCCCCTTCAATCTTCCTATATTTACCACCACGTCCCCTTCCTTCCGTCTTCCTCTATTCACCACTACGTCACCTTCA